CCCCGGCCCTAGCCTGACGGGCTCCCCAGCCTCCTGAGGCGCTCTGGCCCCGGCTTCTCCCGGGCTCCGTCCTCCGCGCCTCATCGCCTGCGAAGCATCCCGTCCGCTTCCCGCGCTGAGGGCAGCCCCATCCCAGGGTAGGTCCCGGACCCCGGGCCGAGGGATGCACCAGCGTCCCCTCCGCTGCGCCTGCCTGCCGGGCCTAAGCATCGCCGCTGCAGCCACTTGCACAGGTCCCTCTCGGCCGCTGGTGGGAGGGCTCCCTTCTCCATCCCTACCGCCAGGTCTGAGACATGAGCCTTTAAAACGGAGCTCCCTCCCTCCAGAAAGAAAATGACGCCCTGTCAGGTGCCTCTGCAAGATGGGGGAATCGATGTAGGGCTGAAAGGGCCAGCCCCTGCCCCTCCTACCTGTTGGATGAATCTGAGTTCCCCCAGAGCAAGCTCAGGGACGCCCTGGATTCTGAATCAGCTCCCAAAAGGGATGACAAGGTGTAGGGAACTCCGACAGGGTAGGAAAGGGATGGGTGGGGTTGCAACCTGAGGGCCAAGGGAGCCAGACAGGTGACGTGAAAGTGAAACCGACTGCTGGCCACTGTAGTTCTGCGGGTGGAACTTGACTTGGCTGCTCTTTGACCGAAGAAGTTCAAGATTTCCAGTCTTTGCCTGTGCTTATCAGTGCCTTCGGTTTTTAAGGGGAGGGGTATACCTGATGCCTCGGCAAAATCCTCATATGTGATCTTTCCCGCAGAATGTTTCTCTTCAGGGTTCAAATTGATTCGGATGAGCATGGAAGACGGCTTTGAAAAGGATGACAGGAGGCTATACTTAGAGTAGGAGGTGGTTGCTGGGGGTGAGGGGCTGCTCTACTTTGGTTCATGTGTTCATTCAGCAAATAATAAACATCCAGGATGTAGGGTGGTAAGAAGTACCATGGAAAAAAATAAAGCAAGAAGGGCCATGGGGAGGACCAGAGAGCGGGAGTCACCTTTTTAAAGAGGGTGGTCAGGGAAGGTCTCAAATAAGGTGACATTTGAGCAGAGATGAGTGAGGGAGCAAGCCACGCAGCTCTCTGGGAACAGAGCATTCAACAGCGAGTGCAGAGGTCCTGAGGCCTTATGCCTGGTGATTTAAGAAACAGCAAGGAGCAGGGTGAAGGAGGGGAAGAGGTTGGCAAGGAAGTCAGAGAGTAGTGGGGACCAGATAATAATGGTGGGGAGGACGTCAGGGGCTGTCGTGTGATGCCAGGTCACAGAGTGTCTAATGGGACACCCTTTTAGAACTGTGCTTATTGAAGTGTCTGGTGGTTGGAGAAAATACAGATTTGTTTTACATGACAAACGGCCATTGTGCTCCTGCCTTGTGTTGTAAGTACCCTTTTTCCTTCTTTGTAACAACCATTGATGGAATAAATACAAAGAAGCATGCCCATAGAGCTCCGTGGTTAAACCAAATTTTGCTGCTGCTTCCTGGTTGTGAGAGTGTGGGCAAGGGACCTTTATCCACCTTAGTCTTCTCTTCTGTAAAATGGGATTGCTGAATTGAGTAAGATCATGCACTGCAGTGCTTAGTGTAGTCTTTCACACAGAGTATATCCATACTTGACAGTGATGAGGAGGATCTCGTGACCATGAGGAATGTGTGCTTGGGTTTCTGCCTCAGAGCCTTTCCTTTTAGCACCAGCTGCCTGGCTGCCTCCTTGAGCTAGTAGAATTTGGGGAAATATTGGGGGAGGGAAGGTAGAAACTTCCTGTCACCCCTCAGGGGTAACAGTGGGTGCATATTCTGCAGGGAGAATGGTAGGTTGGTCCTGCCTTTTTTGGCAGCAGCAACAGATGATGGGTTCTTTTTCAAAAGCCCAAGCCAGGCACAGTGGCTCATGCCTGAAATCCCAGTACTCAGGAGGCTGAGGCAGGAAGAGCACTTGAGACCAGAAGTTTAAGACCAGCTTGGGCAAAATAGCAAGACCCTATCTCTTTTTTATTTTTCTAAAATTTTTTTAAAAATTAGCCAGGCATATGCCTGCAGTCCCAACTACTTGGGAAACTGAGGAGGGAGGATCACTTGAGCCCAGGAGTTTGAGGCTGCAGTGAGCTATGATCACGCCACTGCACTCCAGCCTTGGTGACAAAGTAAGATGCTGATGAAAGAGAAGGAGAGAGAGAGAGAAAGAGAATTAGGTGCACTCTAAAGCTCTCTACAACAGTAAAGAACAGTACTTATTGTCATTAGTGTCACCAGAATTCTGCAGACACACTTTGGGGGCCCACTAGGTAGAGGGCTACTTCTGGCACCATGGTTTTTTGCTTAGCTTCAGTACCTCAGCTGTTTTCTGGTTTTTGTTTTTTGGGGGTTTTTTTTGTGTTGGGGATCTCACTTTATGACCCAGGCTGGAATACAGTGGCATAATCACAGCTCACCACAACCTCAACCTCCTGGGCTCAGGGGATCCTTCTGCCTCAGTGTCCTGAGTAGGTAGGACTATACACATGAATCACCATGCCTGGCTAATTTTTTTTTTTTTTTTTTTTTTT